AAACAGGACTGACACCAGGGTTGAGGGAAGACAGAAAAAGAGAGGAGGAATGATGTATACTGCATTGAAACAGATGAGGGAGAGAACTACTTAAAAGGGACATATGAATGTTTATTCTTGTCATTACAGAAGTCCAGAGGGAAGGCTGCATAGTGGAGTGGACTTGAGGGGAGGGACTGCATAACAATGAAAGAGTTTTTGTTTTTCTTTTCAAGGAGAAGAGAGAACTGGAGGGGAGGGGGTGGGCGGGGAGAAAAGTGCAACAATGAATGAATGGAAACCCTAAGTCTCTGTAAACTTTCATTAACATTAATTAAAAAAAAAGAAATTGAGGAAAAAGGCATTCTACTATGTCTTAAGTCACCATTACAGGTTTATGACAATAAAAATCCTATCTTTAAGGAAAAAAAAAATTGAACCACTGCTGTGAAATTCCAACCCTAAAAGAAATCCCTGTGGTATAGCCAAAAGGCTGCTGGTTCGAATCCACTAGCCACTCTGTGCGATGTAAGTGCAAAGTCTCCTCCCATAAAGATTTACAGCCTGGAAAGCCCAGGAGAAGATGATTGCTCTGAGTTGGCATCAAGTCCACAACAGTGTGTTTTTATTTTGTGGGACACAGGAGCACTGCCCCATGCGGTTTCCAAGGCGATAAATCTTTATGGGGCTGTAAATCTTTATGGAAAAATGAACACCATGGGCCCATCAGTTAGCAGGAGAGCACGCACCCTGGGAGGACAGTTCCACTCTGGCCAGTTGACTCGACTCACAGCAACCCCCTGTGACAACAGCAGCAGGTTCCACAACATCTAGGCTTTACAGGAATGAAACGGGGCAACTGGCAGAGAAGTTCTCTGAAAAATGAGAAGTGTTCCCACGGAGGGTGTTCTAATTACACTGTCACTGTAAGCGACTAGCTGTGGTGCATGTGAAAAGAGACTGGGGACCTCTTGTGACAGAAATGGCTGTGAAGGGTCTTTCAGAGTCACATTAGGTTCACTTAGGGGAAGAGCAAGGAACAAGCAGGGATTCCTAGAAAAATAATTCTGTGGTGAATTCTACCATCTGCAGGAAAACAAATATAGATCCTGCCAAGGAGTTTACTCTGAACATGGTTCTCCACAAGATGCCATATCTCCTCAACGTACAGTGACGAAGAAACAAAAATGATGAATCACAAAGAGCATTCTTTTTTTAAAAAAAAAATTTACATATATATTTAATATATTTAAACAATGAGCAA